TGTGACTCGAAGATGTAACAATTAGCCTTGAAAGATTCATCAGGCAACCTGCAGACCTCCCAGGAAGGAATACTAAAAGCAGCCTTAGAATTCTACCAAAATCTCTACACCTCCAAAACCTTTTTGGAAAATCCCGGCAACGTGCGGAAAGCAAGAGAGAAAATTTTGAAACATCTAGACAAAAGCCTCAAACAAGAAGCAATAGACTACTTGAAAAAAAAAAAGACCAAGGATGAGCTCTTTGAAGCCCTAAGGAGCATGCAACCAAACAAAACACCCCGCAGACGGTCTACCAAACGAATTATGGCAAGATAACTAGCACACAATAGGGGACACAGTCAGAACGTTCTTTAAGAACGCCTTTGCCAAAGGCACCGTAGGGGAAGAATTCAGCACAGGAGTCGTTACCCTGCTCTATAAAAAAGGAGAAAAAGAAGACATAAGAAACTACAGACCTATAACCTTGCTCCCAGTAATATATAAAATTCTAGCAAAAACCCTAGCGAACAGGACAAGCAATGTCACGGACAAATGTTTTCATCTAGACCAAACAGGCTTTWTTCCAAGAAGATACATTCTAGACAACGTGGTCTGCCTAAATGAGGCAGTCAAGCTTATAAAGGATAAAAAAGTGCAGGCAGCTATATTATTCTTCGACTTTGAAAAAGCGTATGACCAGGTCAACTGGGAATTCCTCCAACAGAGCATGGAAAAAATGGGGGTGGGCCCCAACTTTAGAAAATGGGTAAGAGTAGTCTATAAAGATGCCAGAGGAGCGGTCCAAGTGAACGGCCACCTCTCAAAGAAATACAAAACGACCAGATCCGTAAGGCAAGGGGACCCGCTGGCAGCACCGATCTTTCTTTTTGTAATGGAGGCAATAGCAGCCTTCTTACGCAAAGACCCTTCGATAGAAAGACTCACAGCCCAGCATGAAGGAAGACCAATAGACATCCCCACAGTAATGCTGTTCGCAGACGATTTGACAGTATTATAAGAGTTTCTGATTCTTCCTTCCTTGCCCTCACAAAAGCGATGCAAGCATTTCAACTAGCGTCGGAAATGAAAACTAATTGGATCAAGACAGTAGGATGGTGGTTAGCCCAATCAGATCCTCCACAACAATCCCAAGACACCCAGGGACTGCAATGGCTAGATGCAAGCCAGCCCTTACGCTTCCTGGGGATCCAAGTATCAGCAGAAGGAGTAAGCGAAGTCTCAGGAGTCGGTCGTCTTATCAAGATGACAAATAGGCTAGCTGGGTGGCAAGCATCATACGTCTCACTCATGGGAAGGGTTTTAGTCTTAAACACATCAATCCTGTCCATGGGCTGGTACGTGGCCTCTCTTTGGCACCCGCCAAAGAATTTCTTCACAAGACTCAAGAGAAAGATAGGATCTTACCTCTGGACGGGGAAAGCGGACAAAGGGCGTTATATTTCCAAAGTAGCATGGAAATATATCACCAGACCCAAAGCACTAGGGGGGCTAGGAATCTTGAACCCAAAAGCTCAATTCCAAGCGCTTCAAGTAAAATGGATAATCAAGCTATTATTCAACAAAGAACTACCATGGCACAACATGGCTCTCCACCAAATCCGCAATCTAGCCCCCTTCAGGGTAGACCCATCAATAGAGGGTTACCACTGGAACACCGCAGATCAGAGAAGAAGTGTTGAGACAACCCCTGTTTGGGAACCCCCTTCTAACAGATCAGAACAGCAGACCATGGTCCCTAAACTCTAAAGGAAGGAAATAGAGAAAATGGATAGGTAACGGAATCTGGAAAGTGGAACACATATGGAATTCGGAAGAAAACAGATGGATCACAACACAGGAACTCAGAACGAAACTAAAGGGAGTACACAACTTAAAAGAACAACTGGAATCCATACTGGAAAGTGTCCCCCTGAAATGGCTTCTGTTACTAAAGTCCAAAAGAAAATGGTCAGTAAGGGACTGGGCAACAAGAAAACAATCAATTCTTCCGACGGAAGTGTTCAAGCTAGTCAAAATGCTGGACACAGAAGAAAGCAAGGCGGAATTCGTCTCATTCGAGCTAATAGACCCACACAAAACCTGGGCTAAACCGGGCAAAATTATCGCACAAAGAACAATAATCGATCTCCAAAGCCTCAACAAGGTTAGAACAGGTTCTCCAAAACTGAGCCGCAAGAGATCTCTGAACACCAACCAAAATCAAAAGATAACCTGGATCTATAAACCGGAGCAAGACAAAGGATTTGGAAGTTGATCCAGTGGAATGGGGTTGGCTGATCCCTAACAACAACACGGGAACAAGGAAACTCACTGCAATCTACGATTATGAAGTCAAAACAGGCTATAGACTAATTAACCAAACAAAAAAAAAACAACAGGTTATATCAGAGAGATGGAAGAAGAATTTGGGTGAAAAGGCAGAATGGACAGGCAAGATTCCATGGAACTACTATACTGGTATAAGACCAACGAGAATCAGAAGTCTGCAATGGTTGATAATATACTGGGCAGTACCAGTCAACCAATGGCTGGGAAGGAGAAGAAATAAGCAAGGAGACACCCAACAACAAGACACCTACTGCAAAATGTGCAACGAGGAGATAGAAGAAACACTAACACATTGTTTAGTACATTGCCAAAGAGCTAAGGAACTGTGGCACAGAACAAGAGCATTATGGGTGAAAATAACAGATCGGTCATACCCGTCTGATATGATTTATTTACTGTCAGGAAGGAAAGAAGAGGAAGAACTTGAAGAAGATGTTGACTTGGCTGACCTGCTGAGAAGAGCAACCCTATGGGTAACCTGGAAGGCAAGATGTAAAGGCACCTTAACGGACCAAAGTACCAGTTTGGAAGAAAAATGGTCTGAGGTCAAAGACATAACGCGAACGGAAATCAGAGCCCGATGGGAGAGAGAACAAAAAACGCAACAGAAAATCGTCCAACCTGAGAAGCGGGAAGTACGACAGCGGATATTTGAAAAAACATGGCTAAAGGAAAACAAATTTGCAGAAATAAAAAAGGGCAAAATTCTTTTCAAAAATTGGGACTAAAACAAAGACTAGGTAGGGAGGAAGAGAGAAGTCAGATCACTGAGGGGGAAAAAAAAAAAAAAAAAAAGACCTAATCCCACTACCAATCCCAGATCAATTCCGTAACACTCCATCCATTAGGACACCAAGTATCTCAAAACGTAAGGACCATTAGAACACCACTTCATCATCCACAGGAAGCCCAAATACACACGACAGCAAGAACAGATACGGACTACATGGGTCCGTAGGTAACCTTGGGTTTAGGGTTTAGCAAGGAGTGCAGTACAGACAGCCCCGCGGTACACAGTTCATAGGATTTTACCAGAAGAGGTCTAACAGCAGTTCTAGTGAGAGAAGAGAATCTGACAGCTGACGAGCTGAGAGGAATTGACTGGTTGGAAAAAAAGGAGTTTATTTCCAAGTAGCAGGATAAAATGTACGCCAGGTTAGCAAAAGGAAGGAGAAACGTAGCGCAGGCTAACTTAGGCAGGGGTGAAGGGGGGTACATCCTTCCTGATGGAAGCAATCAATGCCATCCGTCGGGCCTCCACACCAGAAGGGGGAGGAGCGTGAGAGTGTTCTCAATATGTATTTCTTTGGCTTGCCGGTGGAATAGGAACCGGACTGACGCTCCCCAGAATGGATAAGGAGCCAGAGCCATAATGTTCTGTTTTTTTCAACAACAACAACAACAACAACAAAACAAAAAAAACAAAACAAAAAAAAAACAATGACAGACTGTTTTGTTGGACTTCGACCAACTCGTAAGGACTATCAAGGAGACTGAAGTTGTGTGAACCCTCGCCGAGCTGCGGAGTCCCCCATGTTCATGCTTTGAGTCATGGACTCAAATAACCCCTGTTAAACGACCAGTACCTTTCCCAGCTATTTTTGCCCAGGCGCAGCCGTCAGCTTTGCGCCCCGCTGCCTTTTTTTCCTGCCCGTCCGCGCACATTTTTTCTTCCTGTGTGCACTTTGTTCAACAGTTACTTTGTTGTGCGTGTGCGGCGTAGTTTGGCTGCAGCTTTGGCAGTGATGCCTTGTGCTTGGCTCTGTTGGTGCCGTGCTGCCGGTGACAGCAGCCAGTCTGCTTGACAATGTGGCACTGCTGTCGCATGCAGACAAGGCAATCAAACTGCATCATCATGATGGCGAACAGACAAGCTGGAGGGAAAGAGTCTGACATGAGAAGTGGCTGCCAGTGGGGAGTACGAAAGTAAGGCAGTGGAGAAGCGTGGGCAAGGCAGTCCACACATCCAGCACGGAMCAAAGCAATTCATCACCTMMTCRCACCACAAGTCGAACCATACAGACTGTGGACTCCCACCACCCTCTGTGACMAAGGAAGTCCCTCCAACATTTRTCCCTCATYACTCAATGCATGGAACTGTGCCCACAGACATCCCGAATTGAACCCCCCCTTTCTAATTATAATAGTGTTACACGCACTCCAAACAACCCGCCACAGGGTCTTTAGCACTTCTTAGGTGCTCGATTAGACCCCCCTTAGACACTTAAGACACAGAGACAGGCATAAGACCGATCGTGTGTTGTCATTGTTTGCTATACACAACTTCACATTTTAAACAAACCATGAGTGTGCCAGTCTGAGACTGTTTCATGGGACGTTCGCCGACTCGTCAGGAGGTTGAACCTCGACAGACTGTATGCCCAGGATCCATTTGACTGATGGATAACGACTCACCACATCCCCCAGAGTTAGAGATGCCCCAAAAAAAAAACCAGAGAGAGTTAGAGATGCCGATCATGCCGTGAGAAAAGTGGTCGACTTCACTCACACCAGCCCTGAGAACACATCCCCCAGAGTGCAAACCCGTGACAAGAATGGCCGTAAGAATGATTGTGTGTGTGTGTGTGTGTGTGTGTGTGTGTGTGTGTGTGTGTGTGTGTGTGTGTGTGTGTGACCATGTGATGACGGTGCGTGTTCGAAATGCCACTTGCCTGGGTGCCTGCAGAAATATGATAGCCCTTCAGTTGAACCGGCTCGAGTGCAAAATGAGGGAAGAGGAGAGGAGCCGGCGGATGCATCCGTAGCACTTCCTTGAGGAAGGCCAGTAAGAAAGGGCATTTGATTAGCAGATCCTCTTCGTTCACCGGCTGACCTAATCCGAAAGCCAATTCGACCTCCATTCTCGCTTTGGTCATTCCATCTGGACTGCGCAGTAACTCTGCCAGAGCCCACTCTGCTCCCACCACCGACGTGTAGACACCTGATACATCAACCAATTGACCAACCAATCAATCAATCAATCAATCAATCAATCAATCAATGAACCAACCAAGCAGCCACCATGCGGACGCAATTATGAAGCAATTAATCAACATTATAATAGCAATCAGCCTGAGGCTCTCGGACCAATCAACCACGTAACAAGCCGTCCAACTCTCCTCACACATTTGGGTTCTTCACAGGTTTTTGCAGAATACGGAAGAACCAGTTTTTTGCACAATACCGGTTGCTCCCCATTCAAAAACATTCCTTCAGACTATCGCGCCTTAAAGCACCAGTACACCACACATCGTCCCGCGGGTGTCAGCACGAAACCTGCACCACTTCGGAGGCCACCGATCTTTTTCTTTCAACGGCGCCCCACACTGTGCAGCCCCTTTGAGTTTTGTGCTTGTGGCAACAAAAACTTTCTGCAAGGCTGGGGGCGTGTACTTGCAGTTTAAAGCTTCAAAAGCTTAAATATCAAGTGAGATGCTGTCAATAGCTTTGATCGGGGCCCGGAGTCATAGATCCCTTTTGTGACTAACACTGATTAATATTTATAATCCCGAGGCTTTGCAGAAAACCTCCAAGACCGTAGTTCATTTCTTTCCGTTTTTCTCCATTCCAGGTTGTGTGTCGCAAATTGTGTTTAGCAATCATGGCAACCCTGACCTGTACTCACCAATGACTAAAATGGTGAAAGTGTCCTCACCGAGAAGTCGGAAAGATCCATACCCCAGTTTTATTTTGTGTTTTGACTCTTTTCACATGTGGTGCAAGTCATTGAGCAAGTGCAAGGATTGAGCCCTCACAGGGCCACCTAGACCAGACACCTGACTGCCCCTCTGGGCCTCTGGGGCCCAGCAAGCCTCGTGCCCGCCCTCAGTGAGGGCGGGCCTGCATTCGGCCACGAGGCCCTATTTCGTCATTTCTGCATTTTGGGGCGCCAGAGAATTACCACGCGCCAGTTGGTTACAGGGGCACGGCTGTGTGAGCACAACATGCTGAGCCTCTGGGCTCAGTTCACATGCGACGTGGCCACAGGCTCTCGGCCAATGGGAAGCAAGGCAGCGGCGTGGCCGGAGGCCCGTAGGCCAATGAGAACACAGCGAGTGATAGCAGCCACGGCATACAGTTGGGCAGCTTCACTGCTGCAGGCCCAGGCAAACGTGACTGTCTGAATGGGCCTGGGTGCAGACACTTTGGCCCACCGTGAAGCTACTGGAACACGCACACCAGGCCCAGGCAGCAAGACAGGGCTGCACTTCGCATATAGGAGAGTGCCTCGCCCAGCCACAGACATTCTGGCAGTGCCAGGACAGGCGGCCACGCTGCTGCACTGGGCCTCTGGCATGCTGCCTGGGCGCTGGCCGGACAGCGCACGCAGGCGCTAGAGGTAAGAGGGAACTGCGGTGGCAGCGGGCGCAAAGAGTCATAGCCGGGCGTGCTCGCGTGGAATCCAGCGATAGTGATGGTCGTCTTCGGGTGATGGAGCACACACACCACCAGTATCGGGCGGGGAAAAAATAGAGTAGAAACATTTCCTAGTCGGATGAATTTGGGCGCTCCTGTAGTGGCCCGTATGTTTCCGAAAACCGTGGTGTGTTAACGGGCCCGACTTTAGGAAGTACTGGTGGTTTAAGGCCTCACTCCTTGAGGACACATTTACTACTATTTATACACGTTGGGTGAATTGCACAGCGAGGCGTGTAGTACCAGTCTACATGATCCGTCTGATAGCTACGGTTTTCCCCCAAACATAACACCCTGATTCTGATTGTATACGAGCTATCTTTCCGGTCCTGTGCAGCCAAATGAGCATGCATTGGGTTCGGGAGTTAGGGGGGACTACAGTAGCATCAAAACATATTTCTGTAGAAACTTGTATCGCAAACAAATCGTTGCTTTTCCTCCAGTTAGAGGCTCGGGGACTAGGGTAGCGTCAAAACAAACTTGTATCGCAAACAAATCGTTGCTTTTCCGCCTGTTAGAGGCTCGGGGACTAGGGTAGCGTCAAAACATATTTCTGTAGAAACTTGTACAGCAAACAAATCATTGCTTTTCAGCCTGGTAGAGGCTTGCATTTGCGAGGGCAGCTCCGGTGTTGTTTTCTCAGGGCATACCCACACTAGGACCTTTTGTTCTAAGCCGTGGACGCAATTGCAGTCCGACTCATCTGGGTCTGGCTGTAAATGCAGTCAGATACATTTAGAAAAGTCCTCGTGTGAGTACACCCTCCGTCCTAATGGCAGACATCCTTGACGACAAATTTTTTTTTTTTTTTAAATAACAAATCTTGCTCCTACTATCCGTGGGGAGCTGCACTTGCTGGAAACTGGCTCCAGCGTCCCAATTGAAAAGGATGAGGCCGGGGTCCTCACAGTCTACCCGGGAGTAACAGGGAAAAACAAGGCAATATAGAAAGACAACAGTATCCATTTCCAGGAGCATTACCCGGTTCCCTCAGGAAACAATCCTTGATACTTATAAGCTCTGCAAGATAAGAGTATTGGGAACCTGGCCGAAATCAATATTCCAAGAACACAGTGATCCAGGATCTTGAATTCGACCTGGAAGAATGGGCCTGGCTCTTGGTAAGCAACAGATTTTGTAAGACTCCCATTCAGATAACACAATGCACCTGTGAATTAGAGAATGGGTGGGTCTGATTTGGAGAGGCTAAAATTTCAAACCTCTGAGGTTGGGAGATAGGAAGTAATGGGGACACAACGTCCGGTGGTTTGCTGAAGATGGGCCGACCTGTTCCGAACCTAGGACAGGGTCGTGCCTTTTTAACTTCAGTCGCAGTAGACTGCGCATTCTCTTGGCAATAATTAGCTAGGACGAGCAAGGATAACTTCTCTTTTAAAGAAGTGACAGGACTGTGACTTAATGACGTCAGTCACATCAGATAACTGGAAGGGTATCGGTACAACAGTCGATAGACTAAGTGCGTTGGGTTAGTGTAAGCAATGTTGTTATCTCGGAGTAGCATGGAGTTCTGGGGTACCCTGTTGCAATGACATGGTTCACTATACGCTAACCCGGCTGATGCTGCCGGGATAACTCCGGGTTGAATTGTGAGGTCCCCGGCCCCGTCTTCATTTTGGAAATACAATGATTTCCCTATAAAAAAAATAAATAAAAAAAAAAGGATCGATACACAAGGGTAAATTAGCAAATGCTCCCTGCGCAAGGATGACACGAATAAATCGAGAAACGGTCCAAAACCTTTTCGGAAGGATCATTGACACGTGAACGGCCAATTATAATTTTTTTTTTTTTTTTTAAGGAACTTTTCGGTTTTGGCCCTTTTGGGTTCCCAAACTTCTGCCGTCTGGTACTACATGCCCGAACTTTTCCATGTGGGTACAACCGGCCAACGCATAGCTCCAAGGGCCCTACCGAAACATGAATCGGACGTATAAACAGCGCCAGATTCATTCTCATGTAGAAGCGACGAAGGGCGGTGCCCCTAAAGGATAGAGCGGGCCCCAAGTATGGTATTTTGAAAAAGAATGGCCCTACTGGTTCATGAAGCTGGCAAAGGAAAAGCGCCAGATTCATTGTCCGGTAAAAAAGGCCAACTGAGCTATACTTTGAAAAAGCATGGCCCTATCGGTTCATAAATCTGGCTCAGAAACAGCATCAGATTCGTTGTCCGGTACAAAAAGGTCAACTGAGCTTTGGCCACAGTGCGAAGGCATCTTTCACCCAGGCGAAAGAAGTTTGGGCCTGTGGCACCGTAAGGTCAGATTCGTTGTCCGGTAGAAAAAGGCCAACTGAGCTTTGGCCACGACACGAAGGCAGCTTTCACCCATCCGAAAGAAGTTTGAGCATGTAGTACCGGGCGACAAAAGGTTTTGGCATGGGTGCTTTCCACTAATTATCCCAAAAAAGAAAGTATGCATCTTCTGCAACAAGTGGTGAGATGCATGCGTTGCGATTCGTAGTAGTGGGTGCATCTTGCCATTCTTTGAGGGAAGATGCACTATTTCGTTTTTCACTTTTCGACAGTGGTGCGGCGAGGCCCTTTGCGCCGGTGATTCCAAATTCCTCCAATGACCCCACGCAATCACATGAAAGCCAAAATAAGCCATGACGTGCAGCAGCAGCTTGGAATTTGGAAAACACCATGGGTCTGAAGGGCCAACTTTCTGTTTTTTTCCCACCTTTTTCTGATAGGGCACACTATTTTCGAACTTGAGGAGAGAGAGAGAAGTACTGTCGGAGAGACCTGTCTCCTGGACGGGGGAACGGACCGGCACATGACCTCAGCGGTGCTCATTACGCCTGCACTGTTCGTGTGGCTCGAGCTTATGCATGACCTAATTCACCATAGCTATCCTACCTTCTACCACGAGTGGAGAAGGTTATGAGGGAGAAGTTAACGATTCACGGTGAGTTTTTTCTTACTACGATGAAACTTCCCCTCTAGAGACCACCTATCCCCTCCCTGAGCTTGTGACCAGATTCACCCAGATCTACCAGCGTAGCGCTAAAGTTCGAGCGCTCCGCTACAGGTGTTTACCCAAAACAGAAACTTCCGAGCGGCCCTGCCACCAAGTCTCCTTGAGTGGTGGTGCGCCATCATCAACACGATCGTCGCTTCTTCCAATATTGAATCTACAGGGCACCACATTTCCTTCTTCAGGTGCTGGTGAGGAGACATCTTCGAATCAAGCGACAAACTCCGACCGCTCTCTCTCTTTTAACCAACTCTTATCACAATACCTCTTCCACCGTACGACACTGTCCTCTTTCGGCAGATCGCACTCATTACCTAACCGGTCCCGAATCTTTCCGAGTTTGGCGATTCAAAACCAGACTCTATAACTTTCTGACCCACCCCCGGACCTTTTGTCTTTTCCGTGTATAGTAAGTCGGGACCCGCTCGAGGACCCCGATACACTCTGGTTCGCCCAACGCCGCACTCCCCAGCCCTCCCCCTCTTACCCAAAGCCCGGATTCTTTTTTTTTTTTTTTACCCCCTCTCTT